AAATGTCTAAAAGAGAATTTTCCTATATGTATTGAATTAGATGTTGATTACATTCAAGAGGAAGCTTTAAAAATTAGATGTTTATTAATTGGATAATGGATTTGAAGATTAAAAAGATTGTTATACATTAATTAGTTGTCAATGGAAAGCTTTGTTCTCATAATCTTTGGATTTTTGTTATGTTATATGTAAAATCGCCATTACTTGTAAAAGTAATTTTTATGTTTTTTTAAATTTTAGGAATTGGCATGATGATATAGTTATTATGAGATGTTTTATGTTGTAATTGGAATGAATTGGATTCAATTGATATCATTAGTTTTGAATTTGGTTAATGTTTATTGGGATTGTGCTGAATGAAATTAAATTGTTTAAAATTCCTTAGGTAGTAACGAAATGGATCATAGTTGGATGAATGCTTTGAGAACAAGTGATGAATATGAGAACGGAGTAGAATGATTTATTGAATTTGCTAAAAAGAATGTTCCTAACAATAACGGAATGTATTTTGTCCCGGTGTCAAGTGTTTAAATGAGAGAAGACTAAGTGTTGATGATATTAGGGATCACCTGCTTTGTGATGGTATAAATCTTCGATATACAAGATAGATATGGCATGGTGAAGTAGGAACAAGTTCAATACTCGAAGAAGAGGAAGTTATGGATGATGTAAATGATAGAATGAGCGATATGATTCGTGATGTAGGGGTAGAGTTCTTTGTGCGATCACATGTAAATGATAACTTAAAGAGTGATGCAGAGATGCCTTTGTACCCTGGGTGTTCTAAGTATACACGATTGACAACTGTATTGAAATTGTTCAGTTTAAAAGCAAATAATGGGTGGACTGACAAAAGTTTCACAGAGTTGCTTCAATTGATTAGTGATATGCTTCCAATTGATAACGTTCTTCCAAATCATATGTATGAGGCAAAGAAAATCTTGTCTTGGATGGGTATGGGCTATGAAAAGATACACACTTGTCCTAATGACTGTGTATTATATAGAAAAGAGTATGCTGGTCTACGTGAGTGCCCAAAATATAAAACTTCACGATATAAAGTGAAAAAGAACATGGACTGTGCTAGTAACTATGATGGTGATAAGACAAGTAAAGGGCAACCTTTGAAGGTGTTATGGTATCTTCCAATAATACCACGATTTAAGCGCTTATTTGCTAATGCAACAGAAGCGAAGAAGTTAAGATGGCATTTTGATGAGAGAATATCAGATGGAAAATATCTTCGGCACCCTGTTGATTCTCCTCAATGGCAGAAAATAGATGAAATGTTTTCGAAATTTGGTCTTGAACCAAGAAATCTTCGCCTTAGGCTTTGTACAGATAGAATCAACCCTTACGGTACTCTTAATAGCACACATAGTGCATGGCCAGTATTGTTGGTGGTTTACAACCTACCTCCCTGGTTATGTATGAAGCACAAGTACATGATGCTTTCTATGATGATTTCAGGACCGAAACAACCAAGAAACAATATCTATATCTACTTGGCACCTTTAATTGAAAATTTGAAGATATTGCGGGAAGAAGGCATGGATGTGTTTGATGCATACAAGCAGGAGTCTTTTAAGTTGTGTGCCATGATCTTTACAACGATAAATGACTTTCCTGTATATGGAAATCTATCAGGATACAGTGTGAAGAGGCATAAAGCATGTCCTATATGTGAAGCAGACACATACTTCCACCAACTTAAGTACGAAAGGAAGACGGTTTACCTCAGTCACAGGAGGTTTCTTGATCGGTTCCACCCATATCGGAGATTGAAAAAGGTTTTTAATGGCTCACCAGAGCATGACATGGCCCCGAAGGCATTAACTAGAGAGGAAGTTTACCAGCGAGTAGAAAGAATCAATGTCATCTTTGGTAAGACTCAAAAGGCTGCAAGTGAGAAAAACATATGAAAGAAGAGGTCTATTTTCTTTGATCTTCCATATTGGCGCAGTCTTGATGTGATGCATGTGAAAAAAATGTGTGTGATAGTCTTATCGGTACTCTTTTGCATATACCTGGAAAAACTAAAGACCGAATTAACGCAAGACTTGATCTGGCTGAAATGGGAATACGAGAGCGTTTACATCCACAATTGAAAGAAGGTGGTAAGCGGGCTTATATGGAACCTGTGGCCCACACATTGTCTAAAGTCGAAAAGACAAGCTTGTGTTGGTGTTTGCATGACATCAAGGTGCCCCAGGAGTATTCTTCTAATGTGAAAAGGCTTGTCTCAATGCATGATTTGAAGTTAGTGGGAATGAAGTCTCATGATTATCATGTACTGATGCAACAATTATTACTAGTGGCTATTTGAGGCACAATGAGAGATGATGTGATGAGCACTATAACTAGATTATGTATCTTCTTCAATGCTATTTGTAGCAAATCATTGACATAGAGAAATTGGATGAATTGGAAAATGAGGGTTATGTTATTTTGTCTCAACTAGAAATGCACTTTCCTCCAACATTTTTTGATATCATGGTGCATTTGATCATTCATTTAGTAAGGGAGATAAAGCTTTGCGGCCCTGTTTTTCTAAGATGGATGTATCCATTTGAGATATACATGAAAGTTTTAAAAGATTATTCCAAGAATCCTTATCAACTGAAGCATCAATTGTTGAAAGGTATGTAGCGGAAGAGGCTATGGAATTTTGCAAAACATATCTATCTATAGCTAAGACACCATCTCGGCATGAAAAGGGTACAAGTAAAGGAATAAGGGGGCTGAAGGTAAAGAGTATGGGTCGTGAAGAAGTGTTACAAGCGCACTTATACATATTGAATAATATGGAAGAAGTGCAGTCATATTTAGATGATCACAAAAAAGTTTAAAAGAAAAATATCCAAAGAAAAGTGATATGCAAATAGCTAATGAGCATAACAAAACATTTATAATATGGTTCAATGAAAAAGTTTTGAGAGAGGCCAATGTGTCTGATACAATAAAATGGTTAGCTTGGGGTCTTTGTTTTGAAGTTATCACTTGGAGTGGATACAGCATAAATGGATATTCCTTCTACACAAAAGCTCAAGATGACAAAAGTACTGTACAGAATAGTGGGGTAATGGTGGTTGCTGAAGCGATGCATTTTTCAAGTTCGAAAGATAAAAACCCCAAATTGGCATTATGGTTATTATGGAGTTATTGAAGAGATATGGGAGGTAAACTACACCAATTTCAAGATTTCTGTCTTCAAATGTAAATGGGTCAACAACAATGATATTGAAATAGATCAACAATTTGGATTTAAATTAGTTGATCTTGAAAGGGTTAGTTATACATATGAGCCCTTCATTTTAGCAAGCCAGGCAAAACAAGTATTTTATGTTACTGATCCAGCGAATAAAAATTGTCTATTGTCCTTTAAAGTAAAAAGCAGAAGGACAATGATCCAACTATGAATCTTGATGAGACACCACCTTTTGCTTCAAATCCGCCTAGACCAAGTGAAGTAGAATTGGTAGATAATGATGAATATGCTGCAAGAGATGATCATTGTGAAGGGATATGGGACAATGCATAAATTTAGATTAAGTAATGTAATTTTGCAATGTACCTTATGTTATTTTCTTTCATTTATTTCATTACAAGGTACTTAATATTATTTATGTTAATGCATTTTATTATAATTTACTTATTTATCTAATTTTGGTTTTTCAACAGGCACATGGAAGACGATTCTAATAGAAATATGGAGGAGGATTGTGATAGAGATATAGAGGAGGATTGTGGCAGCAATGATGTCAATGAGCCGGAAGGAAGGGTAGAGGTAGTACAAGGCTACCAAAGTTAGCAGTACGTCATGGTCGTATTCAGAAGAGGCATGTGGATTTTGATGTCAATATGAATCCAATTGGTGAAGAGAAGGACAGATTCATTAACTATATAGGCTCTGTTGCCTGAAGCAAAGTTAACATTCTATGGCCTAATTGGAAGTCGATTTCTAAGGAAACGAAGGATAGGATTTGGGAATATATTTTGGTATGTCACTTTCTAATATTATTTGATTTATTTTTTTGTAAATATAGTTATAACTTATATCTTTAACTCAAGCATATATATATATTTTTTGCAACAAACGTATGACATCCCTCGTACTAAGCAAATGAAAAAGCATTTGTTGTAGCAAGTTCGTCAGCGCTGGAAAGATTTCAAGCACACACTCACGAGCCAGTATGTGCGAGAGCCTAAGAAAGATGATGATCCGTGTGAAAAATACTCCTTCCTTGATCCAGATGATTGGGGGAGGTTTGTGGCATCATGGCATGATCCTAAATTTCAGGTACGTTGCCTTATAAAACATTTAACTTTGATTTAATTTACTTCACTTACTCAATTTACTTTGTTTTTTTTTCCACAGGAATTAAGTGCGATGAATAAAGAAAGGCAAGCTAAAAATTTATATCCGCACTATTTATCTCATGGAGGTTACAAGATGCTTGAGGAGAGGATCATGCAGAATGACTTGAAGGTGATGCAGGAAGCTACAAAATCTGATCCTAGCATCGTTGTTCAGACTCCACCTCCTCCTCCACGTCATAGAAAATGGAAGGAAGCAAGGATGAAGAAGGGTCAGTATATTAATCCAGCAGTTGCTGAGATTGCTAAAAAATTGTAAGTTCTATAATTCAAATAACTTTAACTTATGGTAATAGTCCTTATACTTTGTCATTAATTTTTTATCATACTTAAAATGTCATAGGAGATACTTGAAGAGCAAAGTAGTGAAGGTTCATTTAGTCCGAGTGGAAGGATGGACATTTTAGCGACCGCGATTGGGAAGCCTGATCACCCCGGACGTGTTAGAGGAGAAGGGAGGACAATTGGTCTTACCTAATATTTTGGACAAACTTCACGAGCTTCCCTACAAAGTCAACCCACCGATGAGATGATAGCTAAACTTCGAGACCAACTTCGTGATGAGCTCCAATCTGAGCTAGAGGTCAAGATTGAGGCCCAGTTACGCACTTCGACAAGAGCTTATGGTTGAGCTTCATGATGAGATGAAATCTATGGTCTCTAGCATGCAACTTGGGACAGTTCAACAACAATGCACACCTCAGGTTTGTAATCAATTTCATTTAAATTGATATTGAGTTTTACCAACGTTTTTCTTATTTAATTTAATACTTGCATTTCTCTCATTTAGGATTCCCCCGTCTTTCCTAGCACTAAAGACAGTTGTAATCCACCGGGGGCATTGGGAGAGCATGATCCTAGTAGTCCCATGCTGGACTTTGGACAACCTTGTTGTCTTCGTTTAGAGGTCCCAAGGATGCGTGTTGTTGCTGACGCTCTCCTCTACAATCAAGGGAGCACCGTCCATCACCAACAAATTCAAGAGGACCAAGTGAGGGTAACAGTTACGACTGTTCGAGAGGGAGAGACAGGAGCGGATGTGCCATTCCCGACTACTGGAGTTGTGAAGTTAGGTCAGGCAATTGGAACTTTCATTCTTTGGCCTAGACACCTTGTTGATGAGAAGATAATACCTATGATGGCAAGAAAATGTCATGCTGTATTGTGTGAATTTTTTTTAACATAATACTTATAATACTTATTATGTTTATTTGATATTTCATTGGGACCAGAAAGATGTTGATAGATATCCCTGCTTGGCACAATTATATGAGGAATATAAAACAATTAACAAGGTCAACATAAAGATGCCTGTAGGGATTGTGGGGAAAGAAAAATCATATTTCTTTAGACTTGACAACAAAGATATCAGGGAATTCTTATCTTTGAAGGAGTTGGACATAGCATGGCTTCAATTAGCAATCATGTAAGTTTAATTTTTCATTTCTAACTTAAACTTCTAATTTCTTACTTTGCACATACTAATAGTTACCTTATTTCAATTCAATGATAGCTTTTTCCATAACAAATGCATGTCATCAATGGAGAAGAGAATATTTGTATGGATATTTATGCCCCGCAAGTGTCCAGAAGAAGTACAACCCACTAAATAGGAGAATCAAATATGTGGGCAATATGATTGGAGACACTAAATTACCTTGTTATTTGGCACCAATTATTGAAGGGCAAGTAGCTTAACTATATTTATTTATACATACTTAAATTGCTAAGAATTATTGTGATATCCAATGATGTATAAGTCTTATTCTAAGATGCAATCATCATTAGAGTTTGTGTGTTTCTTGTCCTATCGACAATGTCATCTACTGGTTTGATCCCTTGGGACATCGTCCAAGCACTGAGATGAGGGGCGTTTTCAACACGTAAGTACCTTAATGTAGATCAATAATTTTGTTTTTACTATAAATTATTTAACTTGTGTTTTCATTTGCTTATAGGGCTTTAAAGACTTATTATATAACTGGTGGGAAGCGTTCTGGCAAAAATGGCCCAACAACTTGGGTCTATCCTAGCGTGAATACTTTGAATTGAAGTTCTTTCATTGATGGCAGTTATTTTATATATGAATTTAGATTATCATTTCCTTGTGATTTGCAGTGTGCTAAGCAACGAGGGTCAACAAAGTGTGGATATTACATTATTCGTTATATGTTTGAAATTATTGAGAGTGGATGTACTACAAAATTTGATGAGGTAAGTAAATATAATTTTAGTTTTGTAATAGTTGTTGAATTTTAAAATTGAATTGTTATTTATTTTATTTTCTTTATATGTTTAAATTTGTTCATTTGTCAATTTATAGATTTTTGATAATGACTGCTCATATACTGTTGATGATATTGACTTCATCCGAGACCTTTTGGCACAGCAACTGCTTCAAGAATGGTGGTCTAGGGATTGATCAAGTTTATGTTTATAGAGATTATAGGTTATCAATTACTTTTGCAATTTGTTCTTCTTTTTTGACTAGTTAGTTAATGTGTCAATATATTAATGAAGTTGTGATGATGATATGTCTTGGCTGAAAATATTGACTGGTTCATTCTATTCAACTTGCTGAAAAGTGGCTATTATGGTTATTTGTGGTTGTAGGGGAAGCGGTACATGCGAATTGAATTTTTTAAAAAAAAAGGAGCACATTCACGTCTGTTTTAGGAAAAAGAAATAAAAAATCATACTTTTAATCTCTGTTTTACACCAAAACAGACGTAAATTTATGTCCCTTCTTTTCATGTCCCCTGCAAAACAGAAGTAAAAAGTCATGCAAAACAGAAGTAAAAAGTTTTCATTGTAGTAGTGATTTCTATAATTAAAAAAAAATTAAAGATTCAGCTCTTATCTTCCATGACAAGATCACTACGCACATTCCAACCCCCCTTTTCTAATTTCTTTTTGCAGTTAATTTACGTCAACACAACAAAGATTTAAATTTGACTCTCATAATAAATATTTTAAAAAAGCCTACCCTTATTTTATGAATGTTGCACACTCACATGGTCTAATACTTAAATTAGTGAAAATTAGTATAATTTACAAAAAAAATTCATTGCTCTGGACTAATATGGAAAATTGGTTGGCATAACCAAAAAAATAATCAATCTTAACGAAATATAAAATCTAATAAAAATAATCATAAGATTCTCCCGAGTTGTAATATAATAGATTATGATTCCCTCGTGAAAGAAGCAGCTTTTCGCGAAACCAAAATAAATGATGCATAGGTCACGTGTATAGGTCTCATTTCTTTTAAGAATGATCTAATATCTAATGCATATTTTATAGGTATTTTTATTTCATAAGGCGAATTTTTAATCCTATTTAACGGATAATGAATATATTTAACCAAAGTACAAGCATTTTGGGAACCAGTTTCGATACTTATAGCATTTTGTAATGGTTTGGATTTAAAATTTTTAACTAATAATTTTTAATTAAAAAATTACATTTATTTTAGATTATCTATCTATTAAAAGAAATTTTTTAAAAAAAATATACAAAAAATAAATCTCAGCTATCCATATTAAATTTAGACTGTTGAGATTCAATTAGTATGAAAATTTATCAGGTCCTACTCAACATTATCACCTATAAAATTTTTAAAAAGAAATTTTTCTCAATTTTCCTATTTCTAAGAAAACATTTCACTTAAATTTTCAAATAAAATAGTATACACAAATCTAAAAGAAGATAAGCCCAATAAGCCTGTTTTCTACCATTGCATGAAGAATGCATTGGAATTATTATGGTGACAAATAGAATAACGAAGCATAGGAATCAAAAGTAAAATCACTGGCCACCATTTTCTTGGTTACATTTGAAATAGAATATTAAGTGTCACTTTCCAACAACCACATGTTGATTAATTTATATGAAGATTGTATTAAATACTTTTGAAACATCATGTTTAACAAGAACCTTTTAAATCAAATAAAAAAATAACAATATTGTTTTATCAAATTTTATTTTTCCAAAGCATCCATATTTCTTCTTGTCGTTCAAACTAGGTGGACTCATAAAATTTGATACATTAGTCATCACGTTTGACTTGTGAACCACATTGCATATTATAAATTTTAATCCTAAACATAAATTTAAGTTATAATTATGAGCATCACACATGAAAAAAATTGGTTAAGCTAGTCCTTCGAATTGATTTTTTTCCTAGTTTATTAATTAATAAGTAGTAATAATTCATTCTTTGCTTATTGCTTCTAAAAAACAAGGAGTTAATGATAAATAAGGATATTTATGAAAAATGAGTATTTAATACTATGGACACAAGTTATATATATATATATATATATATATAATATGTTTGCATACAGGTATTCTTTTTAGCAGAAATTTCGTTTTGGAACACACCAATCTCTTGTTAATTAGCAGAAATTTTAATATTATTGGTTCGTCTTCTTTACAATCTAAACCCCCATGATTAATGGTATTTATATTTCAAACTAAAATTATGAGAAAATTGACTTGACCTATTTAAAATGACTTGGCCTATCTGAGTTGGAGGAGAGAACAAAGCTACACGATCTATATATGAAGTGTATATAATACGAACACGACTCATTCATCCCAACAATAATCTAGGATTTCACTACTAGGATGCAATAATTTTGGTCAGAATGTCATCATTGGCAGCATTGATACTGGTAATATAATTCCTTCTATATATCAATTAATGTCTGTATATATTCTGCCATAAGCTTTTGATTGTCCTATTAGAGCAAATGTGAGTTAATTTGTGTTGTATTCCCATTCTATATATAGAATGGATCTTATGTGCAGGAGTTGGTTGGCAACCTGAGAACAGTATTAGATAAAATTCCTCTTATATCCTCGCGCATGTTTACCTGTAAAGTCACTTTTAAAAAGCTAATATAAACACCCTCGTAAGCAATATTTTTGTTTGTTTGAAAATTTAATACGCTTTTTTTATTTTTATGCCTAACAAATCCCATTTAGTATCTCTCACTCTTTCCTCACTTATTCTGTCCCTCACTCACCATCTTCATGAATAAAGGTATTTTTAAAAAAAAAAATTATATTTCTTATATATTTATTACTTTTAACTAATTTGAATTAACATTTTGATTTACGTAATTTTTAATTAGTTGTTGTGCATACATATATAAAAGACTGAAAGGAGTATTAATTAATTTTTTAAATATAATTTTATTTTAATTTAATAGAAGAAGACTCAGGTTAATGTAGTATTTGTTTTGTATATTTTTAAATCAAGGTAAAATTCAAAAAAAAAAATTATACAGTTTGAGATAAAGTTAATAAGTTTCCAAATTTGCCTCGACAGGTGTTTGGCCAGAATCGAGAAGCTTCCGAGACAATGGATACAGACCAATACCAAGGAAGTGGCGCGGCGGATCCAAATGTGAGCTGTTCAGTTTGTCTGGCATTGCAAACAGAACTCTTTGCAACAGGTTCCATTTTTATTTATTTATTTATTTTGCTAATTTAATTTGAATGCTTGCTTTAAAAACCTTATTAATTTCATTACCAAAATTATAGCGACAAGGAAACGGACAATTCGTCAATAGCTGGTGACTAAGAACCTGTGATATGGCAGTGTGTGCAAGAAACTGCGATATCGATGTCTCACCATCTATCAAATATATCGAAATGTAATGTATCTACCTTACCTCCCAGAACAAAAGAATAAAATATATACACTCATCTAATTCTTGATATAAAATCTAATTGTTGAGTTGATTTTGATTCTAAATATAAGACTTATTTTTTATATTTATCAGTTTTTCCTAAATTACCTCTATAGATACTCCCTCAACCATAATCAAGTAGAAGAAAGAGGGCGAATATTAAAAAAGATGATTACGGTGTTTTAGAAAAAACATGTTATATTTCTGATAATTAATTAACTTATTTAACTTTCTTAATCTAATCAAATTAATTAAATATATCTTATATTAAGAATCGGAGAAGTATATATATGTTTAAATATAATATTCCCCCGGTCTTTAATATATGACCTAATTATTGAGTTGATTTTGGTCCTAAATATAAGACCCATTTCTCATATTTATCAATTTTCTCTAAATTACCCCTATGGATACTCCCTCAACCATAATCAACTAGAAGATGAAGAGATGATATTAAGAAAAATAATTATAGTGTTTTAAGAAAAACGTGTCACATTTCTTATAATTAACTAACTTACCTAACTTTCTTAATCTAATAAAATTAATTAAATAAGTCTTATATTAAGGATTGGAAGAGTACATGACATAGAGGAAGTAAGGAAGAATTGGACGATCCACGATTGGTTCGTCTCAATGGGGATCACATGGGCTGCCATGGGCTCACGACTTCCAACTATTTTTAGACGTTTCTTTATTTTGTTTGTAAAAACAATTTCAATATTAATTTTAGCCCCTCATATTCTATGAAATTTTCAATTTTACCTCCCATCATGTGTGTCTCTTTAGAGCCATCTCCATCACCAAATCATCTTAGATTATATATATCAAAATTATAGTCCAGATCTACAATTTTTTATATCATTATCTGACTAAATCAGATTCAAACAGTATCAGGCTCAAATATGAATATATATAAACTCAAATTCGAAACTTAGTGTTCAAGTAATCAAAGCCTCTCCCACTAAAAGCAACTCATGTTGGTTCAATGTACAATAAATATAAAAACCGTATATGCCAACCCTAATTGTTCTTGTGTGTGTTGATACAACCATTTTACATGAGTTTCAATCACTGTCAAGTCAATCAAATTTATTTTATATGACTCAATTATGGTTAGTTACTATTGTTATAATTTCATGGTTAAAAAAACACTATTCTTATCATTTTTTATTGTTATTTATTTTAATTTAGGCACACATGCGGTAAGCCAATTTTTTCACATTTAAAATTTCTGTCGTTACTTTTTCGGCCAAAAAAATTTTCTGCCGTTACTTTTAAATTATTTTAATTTCTTTCAATTTTACAAAAATTATTAAAAAAATCAAAATTCCTCCAACACAAGTCACAAACATTTCACTATTGTTCAATTTAATTTTCTCCAATTAAAATACCACCCATTAACTTATTTATAGACACAAATTCCAAAATTAAATAAGAAGAAAATCTCTATATCCACATATATGCTCACGTTCTATGTAACACGATGAAACAGGAAGATAATAGGAGCAAAAACCTTCTTTCAAGGCTACGAAACAAAAAACGGACCCCTTAGCTCATCAACTGGAATCAGTGCCCGTGACACTGTTGGCCATGGAACGCATACTTTGTCAACGGCCGGCGGCGACTTTGTGAGAGATGTCAGCGTTCTCCGAAATGGCAACGGCACTGCAAAAGGAGGATCTCCAAAAGCCCGACTTGCAGTGTACAAAGTATGCTGGGGCCGTGGTAATTCTGAAGAGTGCACTGATGAAGACTTGATTAAAGCTTTTGATGAAGCTATCCATGATGGTGTCGATGTGCTCTCTGTTTCGATCGGCCGCAGCGCCGTCCCAAATGTCAACGACATGTTGACCAATGGGATCTCCATTGGATCCTTTCATGCAGTTTCAAGAGGGGTTCTAGTTGTTGCCTCTGCTGGTAACGATGGACCTGAGCTTCAAACTGTATCCAATGTGGCACCTTGGATCTTCACTATTGCTTCTGGCTCCATTGACAGAGACTTCAGTAATAATATTACTCTCAGTAATGGCCAACGCATGAAGGTATTCGCCTATAAAATCAATATCAATATCAGCATATATATATATATAGAGAGAGAGAGAGAGAAGCAGCAATGTTAATAAGCTATTAACAGTTCAGCTCATTTCTCAACAAGAGAACAATACACCAATGTGATATTATGCTTTTGATTGATTGTTTCTAATAACTTGGACAATCAGGGGACCAGTCTTGCCACAAACTCAACATCACGACAGTTAGTTCCTGTGCTAATTGCTGGTAATGCTAGGCTTCCTAATGTGACATTTGACGATGCGTAAGAACAAAATTACCCATTCTTGAATAGATTTTTGAGTTTGTGTTGAACTATCATATGTTTATATGTCAGTATGAGTAAAAACATTTTGGCTCCTATTGCAGGGATCATTGCAAACCTGGAACACTTGATCCAAACAAAGTAAGAGGCAGTATATTGGTATGCCGGAGAGGAAGGAGCCTAAGGCCTGTGGACAAGGGACAAGAGGCAAAGCGTGCAGGTGCTTTGAAAATGATTTTGCAGAATGATAAGGAATTGAATACAGCTACAGCTGATGCTCAAGTTATAGATACTTCCAATGTTCCAACATATCAACCTCCAAAAAAGAATAAAAATATATCCCAGCAGGACAAAAATCCTTTTGACGTCAAGTAATTATTATACATCTTTCTCATTTACTAATCCTTTTGAAATTCTTCTGAAATTATTTGTGATAACAGGGTTAAATTCACACATACATTGTAGGAACCTTACTGCATTCTTGAATAACGCAAAAACATTTATCCCAGTAAAGCCAGCTCCAAAAGTTTCAGCATTCTCATCCAGGGGACCCAACTTGATTCTGCCGTCAATCCTCAAGGTTATCCCTTCTCAAACAATCTAATTTTCCCTAAATCAACTACATGGTTCCAGAGTTTCTAAGATTCCTAACAAATTTTTTTTCCCAATTTTAGCCTGATGTAACTGCACCAGGTCAGGATATAATTGCCGCTTATTCATCAGGGGCAAGTCCCACCAACCTAGATTTAGATGTAGGTCGCTTTGACTATAACATTCTATCAGGAACCTCCATGGCATGTCCTCATGTTGCCGGCATTGCTGGCCTTCTCAAAAATCGCCATCCTACATGGAGTCCAGCTGCTATCAAATCAGCAATTATGACCACAGGTATGACATACATTAAGTGCTATTATTATGTGTTTACAGTTTCCTTCTTTTGTTTCCTTACTAATTGAAGCATTTCTAAAATCTATGCTCATCCAGCAACCACCCAGGATAACGCCAATGGGCCAATTCTAGATGAAAATGATGATGAAGTAGCAACTCCATTTCATTATGGTTCAGGACACATAAAACCTAACCTTGCAATGGACCCTGGACTTGTTTATGATTTGAAGGCTTCTGATTACCTAAACATGTTATGTGCTTCAGCTTATGAGGAAAGAATAGTTGAATCCATTAATAATAATAAGCCATACAAATGTCCAAGGTCTTACAGACTAGAAGATTTCAACTACCCTTCTATCACATTGCCTTTTCTGAGTGTGAAACCTATAAATGTTACTCGCACAGTAACAAATGTTGGGCCTCCAAGTACGTATACTGTAAATGTCAAAGCCCCAGCAGGAGTTGAAGTTGTTGTTCTTCCAACAACTTTGACATTTCAGGGGACAAACCAAAAGAAGAGCTATCAGGTTATTTTTCAAGCAACACGTTCAGCCAAAACTTCAGAGCCTTCATTTGGAGAGTTGACATGGACAGATGGCAAGCACAAAGTTAGAAGTCCTATAGTAATCCCTCAACATGCAAAAATGGCTCTGTAGATTTCAATGTTACCAATCCAGTGTGTTGTGTGTTAATCAGATAGTGAGAGGTAGTGTTAGAGTGACTGTTTTCAGATGTGTGGATATGCTGAACTATGTTATAATTTAAAAATGACGGTTCCTACCAGAAAATAAACCCGCTAGGTCCTCCCAAGCAACTTCAACTTCTGATTTACTGCTTTGGTTTCTACTTTCTTCTATTTGAATCCTATTGGGTTTCCATTTTGCCCCCGTTTTGTTGAATCATGTGTTGGTCTTTCATCTGCAGAAAAATGATACTGTCCACTTATTTTGAAGTACATAAAGCACATATTAGCCCATATAAAAGGCAACTTTGAAAATAATCTTATTGAGAAATAGATCAATCATCCTCCTGCACAAGATTTGGTGAGAGCAAAGAAACAAGCCTCACTATCCACTTAACTCGTTATTCTTGGCAATCATTATTTGAGATGCAAATAAGATCCGTAATGACCGGCTATTTGACCTAGTAATTTATACCATTCAAATCCAAATATAAAGGCAAAGTAAACCAAATGATATATCTGGTTAAATTCTGTTATGACGCCTGTCCCTAAATTATATTCATGTGAAACAGAGCTAGTTAATATACAAGGATTCAATGCAAATAGCAATCGAAGAATTACACTGCCATAACCTATTTAAGAAATTGAATATACTCAGATCATTAAGTTCGCTAAGAAGCTTAGAAACAAAGAAGCATAACCCATTTCAACGACACAGTAATTATCAAACGATACTCTTGTCACTGTTTACCCTTGATTTTGAGCTAAGCGGCGACACCATAGAAGCTTAGGTCAACAGCAGTGGCGCAATTGCTCGATTCAACGACAGATTAGGAGTGTCTACGGTCGATTGAGAATATCGGGAGGAATGCCCTGGAGAACGTGGAGGCAGAGGTTCACCCAGAAAATTTGTATATATTTTCTAGAAAAACATAAATTTTATTTTTGTTTGTACATGAAAAGAAAAAATCAGAGTTCTTTTAAAACAACAAAGTTGATTTAATTTAGCCTAATTTTAAATTTTTATAAAATATTGAAGTTGCCTTTTTTTTTTGAAAAAAATAAGTTTTAAGTTCGTGAGAAATCTTTTTTGTGAAAAAAGAACCTGAAATTAGAAGAAAATTTAAATTATTTTAAAAATGACTATCAACTTTTTGTTAAAGAAATTCAAGTGCATTAGGTTTGGCCCAGACCCACCACGTCTAGGTATGCCTTGTGAGAATATTTAGAAATTGCTCATAAAAATTTTTACATTAATCATACACTTTTTTTATAAAGTATGATTTGCATTTGCATCAAGATAATTTATATAATCAATTAAAGTAATTTTACTAGCAATAAATTCCTTAGATAGCACCATGTCGTTTCTTATATGCTAAAGCTACAATGCCACACTACCATAACACTAAAAATGTACTTAATGACACTAGAATGGAGTGAAATTAAATTTTTTTTAAAAGTAAAAAAAATCATAAATTTAATTCTACTTGTAATCTCAAATTATTGGTATCTATCATTTTGAAATTAAAAGAAAAAACACTGTTGTGATAGATGTGGTCCACCTTAAAGGTTCATCCGTAGAAAAACAAAATAATTTGACAATATTTATAACTTTGTCAAATTTTAAAAAGTTATGGTGCCAGATGTATCCGAAAAAATACGTCGAATTGTTGGATGTACTTTAACCCAATTTTAAATTATAACTCTATACTTTTTTCTTTATTGGATCTTTATTGGTGTTGGTTCTTTAATTGTTACAGTGTTCTTATATTTTATTTATGGGCGATGTGGCATTGACCATGCAAATTCTCCACCCCTCCTTCACTCACTTTTTAAAGTGAATATTTTTTTCAGTTCTAAAAATTTGACCACGAGTTTTAGTTGTGTTCCTTAAAATTTAAAATAAATGATTTTGATTTCCTAAAATTTAACTTCATTTTGGTTTTAATTTTTAAAATTTGACTACATTTTAGTTTGCCTAAAAATTTGTGGTTCCTATTGAAACCTTATTTTGAGGATCTAAACCAGAGTGATATCAAATTCAGGGACTAAAAATAATATATTAACTCAAAAAAAAATATCATGTGACTTAATTTATGAAATAAATTTAACCACAAAAATAACAATGATGGATTAATTTTGAATGGCGATAATTATTTTTTGGATATGATTCACATGAGCACGATGTACGATCACGTGGGATGATTATTGTATTGTTTATACCCGTAAAATAATTTATAAATTAAAGGTGCTTGATTCTATCATTACCTAACAGATTACTAAATACATTGCAACAATGAACATTATTGCCGGCTGGTTAACGTCACTAATAATTATATACTGTCATTTTAAGTAGAGCACAACATTTTAAGATTTTTAGGATACCTCACAAATTTTTGGGGTAAAACATTAGGCAGTGTCAAATCTCATACACAAACACGAACAAGAATGATAATCATTTCTATTATTCTATAAGAGTGAAAAATACTACATGCGGTTATTATTAATATAAAACCTTGTTTAATTTTTATTTTAGTTCTAAATATATTGTTCTAGTTTATTTTGTCTCTCATATTTATGTATTTTTTTTCAAACTAATCTTTCTAATAATAGTAGTTTTAGCCAAGACACTTGATTAGTATGAATATTTTAGAAAAAATAACATCTATTTATTACAAACAATCTACTCAAATTAATTAATTAACTCTTATATTAAGGACTGGAGGTTGGAGGTAGTATAATGCTCAAAGCAAACATTCACTTTTATTCAAGCCACAAACTGACCCTACATATGGTACATATGATATTTTGAGAGCGTACAATTAGAATGTTCATCAACATGTCAAGAGAGACGCAAATGACTAAGGAGTTTAATCATTCATTAGTTGTCTAATTGTGACCGTGACAAATGGTTCTTCCATGTGAGGCTTTGGTCGCCGATCAAGCTTCATAGATACTTGTTCCATGGTTGGACGAGACTGAGGATTCTCATTCAAACAAGAAAATGCTATTTTTGCAACTGCAATAACCTCGTCAAGGATTGATTTCCTAGGCGGTGAAAGTCGTGGGTCCAACATATCCTTTAATAGCAAATCATACGCGGTTGATTTTTCCATCAAAGATGAAATAAGCTCTCCTGGATGTATTCCCATAATTATCTCTAAAGTCAACACTGCAAAGCTGTAAACATCACATTTCTCGTTTGCTTCCATAATATATGCAATCTCTGCAATAGTTTTAATGTTAACAACCTTAATATAACAAAGAGTAGTAGTAGAATATTTTAGAAGAAAACAAAAAAGAAAAATTGGACTTACCTGGAGCAGCATACCCGAAGGTACCAACGAATGTGGTCACATTTTTTGAGTCAGGATTGAGAAACTTCGCTCCTCCAAAGTCAATGAGCCGAGCTTCTTCATATTCTATAGTTAGAAGAACATTCTTGCTTGATATGTCACGATGAACAATAGGAATTGAACAGCCATGATGCATATGGAATAAAGCACTGGCGACACCTCTAACAACATTCACTCTCTTTTTCCAATCAAGCTTAGTGGCTTGGTTCTCATTCTTTAGTATGTTGTCCAAGCTGCCACCTTCCAAGAACTCATAGACCAAAAAAGAGAATCGTGGATTGGAACAAAAACCATACAACTTCACAATGTTACGATGTTTGATTTCTATCAAAGCACGAATCTCACTTGTGAAAGCTTTCTCGCTGAAGATTTCTCCACTGGGTAAGGAATGAAGCTTTTTTACAGCAAAAATATCACCTGTTGGTAACTCTGCCTTGTAAACACTTCCTTGGCCACCTTTCCCAATGAGATATCTATCATCAAAGTGCATTGTGGCTTCGATGATATTTTCATACAATATTTCTCTATTGGAACTCCATACAAAATAAATGTCCTGTGATTGTGCTTTTTCATCTTTGTTTTTTGCTTTTCTTGTGCATAGGAAAAAAATACAAGAAGCTCCAACTACTACTAGTACTAGTAGTATGGCCAATAAGAGGAGTATCTTCAATAAGATTTTGCTCTTACCACGCATTTGAGAATTACTGCAAGGATGTAAACCAGTGACGTTACCGCACAAACCTTTATTATTCTTCAATCCTTCAAATATTTGAAAGACTGGTTTGTTTGGAACGGGGCCTTCTAATTGATTGTTTGATAAGTCAACAGTAGTCAAAGCTGACATTGATCTGCTAAAACTAGAAGGAATGGTGCTAGTGAGATCATTATGTGAGAGGTTCAATACTTGCAATTTGGGTAACATTCCAAGCACTGATGGTATTGTTCCATTGAGCAAATTGTCACTAAGATCAAGTTGTTCAAGCTCCTGGAGTTGACCGAACTCAAGGGGAATGCTTTCATCAAATTTGTTTCTGCTCAAGTTCAAGAACTTTAAGTTTTTTAGTTCCCCAAGCTCTCTTGTGATTAAGCCATAGAAATTATTTGTGGCCAACTCCAATGTTTCAAGTTGACTAAGTGATCTTATATTTGAGGGGACGTTACCAGAGAAGTTATTGTGGCTCAAAAAGAGTTTTGTCAACATTATCAACTTGCCTAGTTCTTTTGGGATTTGTCCAGACAAATGATTTGAAGACAAGTCAAGTTCAACAAGCTTAGCTGCCTCCCCCATCTCTGATGGTATTTCACCAGAAAGGTTGTTATTGTGAATAAACAATTGTTTAAGATTTCGACACTTCCCCCACTTGGATGAAAGGTAACCATACAATTTATTTCCACTTAGATCAATGAAGTCCAAATAAGGATATACTCCAAAAGCATATGTTATATTGTCAGTTAGTTGGTTACCTTGAAGCTTGAGTCTTTCTAGACTAGAACAGTTCTTCAAACTAGTTGGAATGGGACCCATGAACTGGTTATTTTGAGCTACAAACCTATATAACTTCCCATCCTGACAAATCTGTTGTGGTAATTGGCCTTGGAAATGATTATCACCCAGTTGTAAATTGTGCCAAGTTATGTTATTCATTTCTCCTGGAAGGTGACCACTAAGATTGTTCTCCATCAATAATAGAGTGTTGAGCTTTGTCAAATTTCCTATAGTGGAAGGAATAGATCCTGAAAGGTTGTTATAATCTAGATAGATTTCTTGTAAATTGATCAAGTTTCCAATGGATTGAGGAATTGAACCAGAAAGATTGTTATTCGACAAGACCAACTCCTCAAGACCTATCAAGTTCCCCATAGAGGGAGGGATTGACCCATAAAGTTTATTGCTTTCTAAATAAATTGTCGTGAGAGAATTGAGTTTTCCAATTTCATTTGGTATAGGACCAAAGAGATTGCAAAAATCAATATAAAGTTCTTGTAACATGTTCAAGTTTCCAATTGATGATGGGATTCTGCCAGATAACATGGAGTTTTTGGCCAAATCAAGTAGTAAAAGATCACTCAACATTCCAATCTCTTCTGGAATGGAACCAGAAAGAGAATTTTGACCAAGCACCAGATCCGTTAGGTTCCTCAAGTTCCCAATTTCACTAGGAATTCTATCCGTGAGCTTACATGCACTAAGATCAAGAACACTGAGAGTGCTCAAAGCTCCTACTTCTTTAGGAATGGGACCAGTAATTGAAGGATTCTCTGACAAATCAAACTTCAAAATACTGGACAAGTTACCAATCTCTTGGGGAATGTTGCCATAGAAGTGGTTGTAACTCAGGTCAAAATATTGCAGACTAGGAAACGAAGCAAAGCTGAGATAGCGAAGTTTACCTTGAAGGCTAAGATTTGACAGTCTTATACTGATCACCGACACGGATTCTTCATCACATGAAATTCCCTTCCAGTTTCTGCAAAGATCAGTGCCATTACTGTTCCATGAAGACAATGTCGCTTGGCTTTGTTTGGTAAGGCTCGCTTTCCAGTTCAGCAGAGCTTTGGCTTCGCCAACCTCAATAGCAGAAGCAGCAGAAAATGCAAGTGAAGCAACAATGCAGAAGAATATGGAGAGAATAGTACCCCGTAATGATGGAAGCCTAGAGGAGTATTCGCTTTCGGGCATGGTTGTTCTGGTGAATTATTGAAGTGATCAGGTTTCAGTAAATGATGGGTGAGTACGTGTGAAGCCTGGGACGATCACAAGATGATGATTATGCAGAACTTCCGATCCTATATAAATCGCTCATCATGGCGATGTTGTTTCCATGTCACTTTCAAACTTCTTGAGACAAAATTTTCCATGACAAATAACCCACATTTGAGCTTCCTCAATTTTTTGTTACTCCAATATAACCCAACAAACCCGTATACTCATTGCAAGCTTATTCTAATTTTTCCTATAAATTCTCATTAATCATCATCAAACTTAGTAAAGATGGGAAACTTGAGATAATTTCCTAATGCCTACCAAATAAAATAAAATAAAATGTCTCTACCTCACTATTTCCTTTTTCTAAACACATCTTTTCAATCTACCAAAATATTTTTAGTGCTTTTTTTCTTTTTGAGATCCCTCGTGTCAGTCCTACTTCTTTAGAATTTCATAATAGATTTTGGGTCATTTGGAATGATTTGGAAATAACTTTTTAATTCTGATTTACATAATACAAGGTAAATATGTTAAAAAATTTTTTATCTCAATTTATATAAAACATACTTATAAGTACTAATAATCACCAACCCAAACTAGGCTTTTATTGAAATGGGGTAATTCTGAAGTTAGTTAACACACACATACACACACAAAATAGTTAACTACACTTTAATTGACACCCACAAAAATGAGACTCTTGTCTCTTCTTGCTAAACCAGAAAATAAACATTTAAAATAAATAAACAGTACTTATTTTATGTCCATCTGTTATTGTTTTCTCTCTACTTCTCTCCTGAACTAAATAAAAATAGCATTAAAATAACTTTTTCCATTCTCTTTTTTCTAATCCAAAGGTAGTATTGAAATCTCTCCTTTCTCCTTCATTATTAGGATTCAGAGGTTCATAATAATAATAACACGTGAAAGCAGAACAACCACAGTTGAATTATTCGCTCAAAACTTTAAAAAAAAATGTTTGGGAATTTAGAAAAGTGCTTTTTAAAAATATTTTTCTGTAAATCGAGATAAACTCCTTCACATATTTATTTCGTACGCCGTAAAATAATTTCTGAAACTATAATTTGGTTTATATCTAAACACATTCTTAAATAAGTAAGTGAATTTTATATGAATATATCTAATAGAGTCTGTTATTTAAAAATCACACTAAGAGAGGTTTTTATTATTTGGGATTTGACATGGCTCGCACAACGTTGTAAGAAAAAGGAAAAAGAAAAAAGGACAACAACATTTTTTATCCCTTGGATCAGCACAGATTTAGTCCTGTCCTGATTTCTATCACTTCTGCAATAGCCATGTGCCTTCTCACTATCATAATCATAAATATGCATATGTTTTTTTTTTGGGGTAAAAAACACAAACATGCACCTTTAAATTTAAAAATAGTTAAATCATCCATTTGATGCTTTAATTATCTATATATTAGATTTTAATCTGGTCTCTTAAATTTGAAAAATTAAATTTTTAATCATTTAATCCTAAAATTATTAAAAAATAATAACATTAAGATCTTAAATATTGATAAAGTATCTTTAAATGCTAACATATATCAAATTTAATTTTCATAGCAATTATAACTATTACCAATATTATTATCTAAGCTTAACAATTTTAGAATTGAAGGATCAAGGTTAAGATTTTTTAAAATTAAAGGACCAAATTCATACTTTAGTTTTTAAAAATTTAGTTAGCTCTTCATTTTCCAAATTTATTTCGATTTCAAACGAAAAAGTATGATATATAAGAACAAAATTTTAATAAAAATTTTAAAAGCATTAATCAATTAATTTTAAAAAAATGATAAATTTCTGTTTTGAATTTTGTTCATATTGATAAATATGTGTGGGTGTTGAAATGGAACGCAAAATAAAACGAGGCCTTACGCTTTGCAGAATTACAGCTCACCATCAATAAACTCGGCTCACTGAGCTCACTCTCAAGCAGGGACGTTCACATGGCACACTTTGGGACCGCTGCATGGATTCAAGTATCACTTCGCTCTTTATTATAGATCACATGTAATGTATTTTTACATGTTAAAGAATAAACTGAAAAAAAAATTAATTTTATTCTGATAAAAAAATTTCTTCTATATTTGCTGATTATTTTCATATATGTTATTTTTTTCACTCTTTTCAATCATAATCAAATAAAGATAAAATTAGAAAAGAAGCATTAAATATACTACAAATGACTTATATTTAGGATCAATATTTTTTTATCAATAACTTATATTTAGACTGGATTGGTATAATTTGGAACCAAAATATTCTAAAATTATAATTGAAAAAACTAAAGGTTTTTGTAACCAGACATGATTTTTATTATCTTCTTGTTTTAGAGGGTGTTTAGAAACTCAAAAAGCACTTTTAAAAAATACTTTCATGTAAATCAAGGTAAAACTCTTTTTATATAGTTATTTTGTATATCATAAAATTATTATTAAAATTATAATTTGATTTCTACCAAAACATCCTATTGTAAGTTGAAAGATAAGTTGTAACTAGTAAATTGTTACTCTATGTATATCCTTCATGATAAATTCCAAACAAGGGGAAGAAAAATCATTTTATGGGTATCTATACTTTTTTTAATTTTTAATTTAGTATTGTGTTATTTTCTCTCTCTATTAAAGGAAAAAATGCAATAAGGTTAATTTCATGAAAAAATATATTAAAAAATCACATAATAACTAAACAATTTGTAATAACAAATTTCAGAATAAAAAATAGGGTTAAGATACATCCAGTACTTCGAAATATTTTTTTGGATGCATCTAACACTCCAAAGTACTTTGTGGTGTGTCCAGTACCCTGAAATATTTTTTTAGGTATGTTCAATATCGTAAAATATTTTTTGATATATCCAGTATCTCAAAATATTTTTTTTAGGTGCGTTCAGCACCCAAAAATATTTTTTGGTTCATTGAGCACCAAGGCAAAAAAAAATATTTCAAGGTGCTAGACACCCCTATAAAATACTTCGAAATGCTAGATGTATCTAAAAATATTTTAGAGTACTGGATATACCTGAAAAATATTTTAGGATGTTTAATGCATCTTAATCCTAAAAAATAACAATAAGTTTCAACTCACTTGTCATCCATACCTTTTTAATTTTTTTTTTGAAGACCTTATAATGATTATCCTTTTATTAAATTAATTTTGTTGTGTTAGCACCGCCTATTTTTATGATCATTAACTCATTCCAACCACCGCGGGACAATGATTTCATTCAATTCAGCTAGCAAGGACAAAATCATTGCCATTAAACTATTGTACTGAATTGTCAGTATCCCTAAATGCATGCATCTTTTATTGAATCAGTTTTTGTTGGGAGAATTATGACAAAGTCCTAAAAAAAATTATAAGTAAGTTTTAATAGTAATTAAGGGTATATTTGGATTGCAGTTCCAAACTGTAGTTGTTTCTTGAATTTGTGAAACTGAGGTTGCAAACTGAGTTGGACCAAAACTGTTGTTTGGCTGGGCTAACTTTTCCAACCACTTCTGGCTTTCAACCTCAGTTAGACTCAACGGAGAAAAACTAACTTTTCAAACTGTAGTTTCAAACGGTAATTACTAAATGAGCATCCCAGATTTACCCTCACAATTTTTCTCTCTGCCTCATCTCCTTCGTTAGCATAATAAGTTTTTTATTTAGACCAATAAAATTTTAATTTATATTCATGTTTGTCTATTATGTAATATTTAATTAATTATCTACAATGTGTTTTCAACTTTTTCTTCATAACAAATATTTTATTTCATAATTTCACAATTAAACTATTATATTTTATCATAATAATTTTATATGTTTTTTTTAACCTATTATCACATTAAAAACATAAAAAATTAAAACTACTATTTAATAAAGTTCATGCCCTTTTTAGTCATTTTACAACTAAACTAACTTTTCATTCATCATCCAAACAACTTTCAGCTTTTTCAACTGACTTTTCAAAAGCACCTATCCAAACATACTCTAACTGACTTTTACTCTAACTTCAGTTACAAAAGTCAGTTGAGCTAGAAGTCAGTTTGCCCAACGCCAATCCAAACATACCCTAAGTAGTTATTATTTATTGTTTTGTAATTTGTTATTTTATTGCCACTATAACTTTTTCATAATTATGTCTCTCATCTGAGATTTTATAGTAATTTTTTTTTGGGTTAATTAATATGCAAGTCTTTATAATTTCAATCAATTTTGAATCATATTCTTATATTTTCTTTCTTTTCATTAGGTTCTTATTCTTTCACATGTTTTTAATTAATCCTTACATTTATTTTTTTTTATCAAATTCTTATAATTTCACCAAATTTTTAATGAGGTCCATCTAGTTTTAATTTTATTTATTAATAAATATAAAGTTAATTAATAGATTAATAACGAAATATAAAATATTAATAATAAAATTAAATTAATAATTATATAATTAAAAATAAATAATATAATTAATAAATTTAGGAAAAAATTTAAAACATAATATTTTCTTGTGGCAAAAAAATAAAATTATTATAATAATTTATTATTTTTAGAATATTAATGTTTATA